TTAATTAACGACAAACGATGCAATGATAGAGAGAATGAGAAAACATCAGTACATTGGTTACCTAAATGCAATAAGCGAGAATTACGCGATATTTCCGGGGGAAAACCGTTCTGCTAATATTATTGCACGTGTTTCATAGAACGGAAAGCAAAACATACGCGTTTGTTACAATTGTTCGAATCTGAAAAATATTTCTGCAATATGAGTCATTGATTGAACTATACAGTTGTTGTATATTAGATATTAGTATTTTGTTTTACAAATAAGTTATTGCATTTAATATAAATATTCGAAAAAAAATTCTTTGACAATTCTCGGAATTGAAAAAAACAAAACTTATACGGATTTTTTATGGAAGTTATTTAGTTTGAAAGATACATCGCATATTGAACGAGGAAAATTATTCTTATCTATGTTGAATTTATTTCATTCCCTTTCCTCTTTCTATATTAGCATTTTCACATATGTCAACGCATAAAATTTTTTAATTTTCTAGTAATTTTATATATTAAATTTCCTTATTACAACGCTATTATAAACATAATAATCTTTTATGTTATGATCAATGATCATTTGTTTCAAAAGTGGCAATAAAATGTTCACTAATTCTATTGTTTGAAAGCAGTAAATCGTGTAGTGAGGAAGCGATACTTTACTACATCATTTAAAAATAAGTACATTCATCGCAAAATTTTTCTCATTTTTTCACACTAAAATTTATATAGAAATATATAAATTCGCTTTTTTGAATTTATATATTTTATTATATAATATAATATATTATATTATATATATATAATATAATATAATATAATATATTATATAATATTATATATATATATATATATATATAAAATATCTTTAAAATAAACATTTTTAATTAATGTAACAATCAAATTTTGAAATGTAAAGGAAAATATCGTAAAACATTATATGGTCATTACAATTATAAATCGCACAAAAGATGTATCGAACCGATCAGAAAGTCAACAAGTCCCGGTAAATACCCTCATGGAAACATCACTATAAAATCGTCCCCAGACACGATTGGCACAGCCATCTAACATATGCGTAAATGCATATGTATATGTATATATTGTACCTCGTCGATTCTTTCACCTTCACGAAGGTTAAAGAGCGAGATGCAGTTAGCCGTATGTAAGGATTTAATCGAAAGTGAACGGTCTGATACGATACATAGGCTACAATTATCAAAACATTTACTATACAAATGCATAATTTATCTTAAAAAATAAAATGAGATAGTTTGTTGTATTTCTTACATATTCCTATAAATTTAATATTATTATTTAATATTATTCTTCAATTGATAAATTTTTCAATTTTATGAAAAATTATTGTATAATTTATGGATCTTTTAAACATTTTTAAATAATCATTATCATTGAATAAAAATATATGATTAAGTCTCAGTTAGTTTTCAGTTAGGTTCATTAGGTTCAGGTCATTTTATGTCAATAACTTAAAGATATAAATAAAATACAAAATTTAATTTCTATTAAATATATTTATATTTTGTATAAGAAAAATAATAATGTTTAAAAATAATAACTTGCAGATTTATATATTATTGTATTTCTCTTATATTTCATAAAATACTATATTCACTATTAAGTAATAATAATTTTAATTAAATTAAAATATTCTTAAATATTAACTAAAGTATATGTTATTTCTGAATTTAAGTAAAAAATATTACAAAATTTTTTATAAATATAAAATGTTATCACATGATATTCAATATTTTTTATAAAATTTAAGTATTTACTTTTCTAAGAACTTTTATTCTTTATATTATGAATTTAATAAAAATGAATTCATATTATATATAAATATCTTCAATAATATAATATTCTAAAATATTCTTAAACAAATTTGATAATATTATTTAGTAAAACAAAAATATTGTAAGATATACTACTTTAACAATGTTTTCATCAGAATCCTAAATAGAAATCTAATTATATATATAATGAAAAGTTTTGATTTAAAATTTACAGCTAAAAAAATAAAACTATTTCTGTATATTTAATTTTAATTTAAATTAACTTCAAACAAAATCGACGTTTAAGCCGTATCGATTTTAAATTTCATTATATAACATCACATAATTTTAACCACACATAATTATCTAACAAAATTCCTCTTAAGATGTCAAACTTTCTCATTTTGCAGATAAAATATTATTTTACTATGAACCAATATATAATATTATACATTTATTATCAATGAGTCAGAATTTATCATAAAAGAATGCATTTAACTATTGTCGTAGTTTTTCTTTTTGTAGTTTATTTAGAAAAACATTGAAATATAATGTTGAAATAATATGAAAATATGATTTAAGAAATTAAATTATCAAATATTATTTATCAAATATTAAATTTTTTATCCACTATCACATATCTTTTTCCTTTTTTTCATTTTATTTTATTAATATAATTTCAATTTTGTTAAAAAGATACAACAATAAACAACAATATATACTTTTTAGAGTTAGGAAGAAAAATAAAAAAAGAAATTTTAAACAGAACGATATTGTGTGAACAGTGTTAATTGAACGTTCTAATTAGACAGTGAAGTTGGTACGGGATAATAAAAGAATTCGAAGCGTACTGAATATCTTTTCGCGAACTATAAATGGCAGCAGTGACAGAACAGCAGTGAGGTTTAATTCAAAAATATACTTACAATTCGACTGTTCTTTTGTTTATTGAAGAAATGAAAATGTTATTTAGTCTAGCAGAGGAATTAAATATGATGAGATCAAACTTTTTCTTATAAATCTTATATAATAAGTTGTAGTAATTTCAAAATCACATTCTTCACTTTTTTTTTTTAATTCTTTCAATATATATGTAAATTTCTACTACATTCCAATCTAAAAAATAATTCACTAATATGCACTTCAAATGATATTTTATAAAATATATATAATAATGATAAATTAATTTAAATAAATAATACTTAGAATATTCAATATATTTGTATATTAAGAAAGATCAATGAAAAAAATGAAAACCACTGTGTTACCATTATGTGTGTATATATATATATATACACACACACACATACATATATATATATATATCATCAATATTTGTAATATCTTTAAAGATTTATTCAAGAGTGTATTTAAATTAAAATAATTTATTTTAAAAATATCTTTAAGAATTATTCTTCAAGATTAATTTACTAACTTACATAATTTTATTAGATTAAAAAACAGGTTAAGATAACCTTAAAATCTTTATAACTAATAATCGTAAAAAAAGATTAATTCTATCGTTTTGTTTTTTTTTTTGTAAGTTTATACAAATAATTCGTTTGTATCCTTTATTTAGGAAATTATCAAATATTTAAATTAAATACAATACAACATGAATAAAATTTTTTCAATAGTTACACTTTTCAGTTGCAACTGACCATTGATACTAAGTAAATAGTTTTCCTAACACATCGCTCTGTTTCACTCATCCGTAGTTTATACGAATTTGTTTACGAGAGACGGAATACGTAATCGAAAAGAATACTTACATGCTGCCTACTTTCTGGCATAAGAGACGAAAGGGAGAGTCAGTGAAAGACAAGGAAAAAAAGATAACTAACAGCGCGCCAGCTATATGGCGTACGTGACCGACTGCACTTCGTGGGTTACCACTCTCGTTTTGGTTCTTAGTTTGGCGCCTGAGCTGAAAGATCGTTGCAATTTCGGGATCCTGACCTTCTCTGCCTACCATCACTTCTCTCTCTCTTTTGACCGCCTACGAGATTAAACACCGATGCTTGGAGAGATACGAGAAATTTTTTTTTATAACGCATATCATCGATATTGTTTATAATTTACAATTATTATTACATTTACATATTTGAAGTTTTATAATAAATTAAAAAAGATAACATATTTGCAACTCAATGATAAATTCGATTATAAATATTTGACTATAAATATTCGATTATAAACATTCGATTATAACTCGATTATAAATATCACGCGAGAAATCGATTTCTTTCAATATTATCGATATTCATATATATACATATTTTTTCGATATTCAAGAATAATTGGTTAATTTTTTTATAATAATAATTCATTTTTCATAATATATAGATTATAAATTTAGAATTTATTTTGACAAAAAACATCTACTATAATAATACTATTACTTGATAATTTGAAAACTTAAATAAATATATAAATACACAACAAATGTAATGTTATGTATTTATTATATAAATAAAATGTATAAATTTTATAAAATATAATGTAAATATAATTTTTTAATAAAATTTTTAATTATATTACTATATAAATATTAAATTATTAAAAAACGAACTGTTTGTTACGAACTGTATAGGTATATATATATTATTTGCATATTATTTCAATTAAAAATGATTTAATTATAATAAATATTTTATTAGTAATTTATGAATTATGTTTAATATAAAACAATTCTATTGCCAGAATCAATTCTAAATGAATAAACATTCAATTATGCGTTCGACGATTTAATATTTTACGCATAATTGCCAAATATTAAATAAATTTATCAAATTAAATAAATAAAAAAAAACTTTTGTTTAAAAAATATTCTGGAATTAATTAATATCTTATTTCATGCATAAAAATAAAATATAAAAAAGAACAAAATTGATATAATCTTTAGTGTATATATATATATATATAATTTTGTTAATATATAATTGTTGTAAATTCTATTTTCTTATTATAATATATTAACAGAGTTTAATATATTAAATAATGAGATGTTAATATAAATCTTATTAATTTATAAATATATATTATATATTCAAATGAAATAAACATAAACTTTGATAAAATTAAATTAAATATAAAGAATAAATTAAATTAAATAAATATAACATGCTTTTTGTATATAATAATTAATAATAAATAAACAACATTGTATTAAATATATAAATATATTTCAAATAATAAAAATATATATGCTTACCTTTGTCCTTCCATTGATTGTGTACTTTCCCATTTTTCCATTATTACACATTTTATTTGCCCTCATAATGACTGCATCAACTTGAGATATGAGCATCCCAATATTTTGACATTGTTTTTCTTTACCATCAAGCCACGTTATTTGATCACCACGAATTGTCTTTAAGTCATTTGCACCTGCTTTATTAGAAACCAATTGTCCATCCTTAAATAACCCAGCACTGTACATATTTAAAACTTCTTTTAACACTGCACCACCTTTTTCCGTTCCTAGAAAATTATCTACCACACACATACCATATTCATCCATGTCTCTAATCACATTTCTGCTTATATCGTCTATTAATTTTTCAAGATTATTTTTATTTTTATGGAGGAAAGGTGGTAAAAATTCTTCTTCACGAGTTAAATGAACCTCTGGAAAGTTCTTCATACCGTTATGATGTTGAGTAGGCATATCTAGTTCATTGTCTTGTAGGTTATCAAGAATTCTTGAATCTTGTAAAGCAGGATTCAATGATTCTGTTCTGGCACCTAAGATTGTATCTTCAGAACTTCCTTCATATGTTATTGGAGAAGTCCATCCATCCACTCTGTTAGTACGAGTACCTTTTGTTTTAATGTTATTAGATTTTCTTTTGGAATTTTGGCTTTCCTTGTGATCTAATTGTCCTTTTATTTTTTCTGTCTGTTTGTTGATTCCTGAAACAGTAAAATCATATAACAATCTTTAATTATGATAGAATGGAAGTTATATTTATTTTACTAAAATACTATACAGTATATAATGAATCATTTATTACTAAAAATAATTCCATTTTTTGTAGAATAAAATATATATTATTAAATGTTTACAGGAACATTCTAATATTAAAGAGCTTTGTAAAATAATCTGACAAAAACAAGATTTAGTTTCATATACCTTCAAGATGTTTCACGTTATTATGTACATCTGGAACAGCGTTTGATCCTCGCGTTCTTCCTAACACTGATTTCTCGCTTAGGTTAGAAACCACTGGTGCAGTTGAAATGTGGCAGTTTTTTAAGGATGATTCCTTCTTAGATTTTAGAATGGAATTTTGACTAGTAGCCGAAACTGTATCTGATACGATCGATTCCATAGAGTGAATCGCACAAAATTCTTTGTGACGTTTCCAGTCCCGTTTCTGGTGTTCTTTAGTACAATAAAAGACGGCCTTGCACCGTGAACACCTTAACAACTTGTCAGTCCTATTACAGACAACACAACCCACCGTTATACCTATTTGAACATCACCGCCGGGTGTCTGCGCACGACTGACTATCGGTCCGGACATGTTTCGTCGTTTATTTAGCAGCCACGAGTGCCGACGACATTTCTCCAATGAGGAAAGTCACACACGCACTCGATCTGCGTATGGTACTAGCGTGCTATTGAGACTCTGCAGTGCTTATACGTACGTTCGTCTTTAGATTACATACTACATATATGTTATCGAATCTGCAAAACACCTATTGGTGAAACGACGATCAAAACACCGATGCTTAATGTCCATTAGTCTTACTATACATATATTGCGCATACGTACACTTATGCATCGATATATCAAATCGCACTGCATCGAGTTCTTTCTTTGAAAATTCATTTAAAAGTAAGGTATACAATTACTATCTTGATTGTTCATCGCCCTTAAGAGAGCGCCACTTTATAACCATATTTTTGCAATCATAAAAATAATTCATTACATTTTGTAATTCAAGAAAATATTTTTAATTATATATATTTTTTAAATGTTCTTTTATTATATTATTCAATAACAATTATTTGTAAGGCAGGAAATAGAACTTAATTATATATAAATGAAAAATTATTAATATAATTTTATGCTAAGTTCGATTGCATAGAAATGACTATACGATAATTTGATAGATTATTTTGACATAAATAAATATAATGCGATTATATAATGTGATATTGTAATATAATTTAAATTCAATGTATATGTAAAATGTAATAAAATGTTTCAAAACGATAAATATTTCTAATTTTATTTATTAAAAAAAAAGCATGTTATAAATAATGTTAGATTTTTTGTATTTCATATTAAATATGTAAAATTTTATTTCTCTTTATAAAAAAGCAATGTTTCCATAGTTACGATATTCCTCTTGTATCATAACATTACATACTGTATGTATTATATAGTTAAGTAATTCAAATTTTGTGATACAAACAAAATATTTTAGATTTTATGAACAAGAAGAATCTTATTCTAAAAAAATGACTACTTTTATACCAAATGTGCACATTAAAGATGGAGAATATACAAAGACTATTTATTTAATGGTAGAATATATTTATATATTACAAATTGTAATATTTTATCAATTAATGTTTAAATATAATTAATTTAATTATTATAAAGAATTTTTTAAATTATATTAATATTAAATATTAATATTTACATAGCGTATATGTATATAATCTTTTCTTAATTTTAAAATTATATGTAAAAATTATATTTTAATGTAAAAATCGATTTTTCAGATTAAAGAACAACGATATGCAGAAACAATAAAAATATTACTTACACTTTTAGACTTCTATCCCATTGTACGTATGATTATATGACATAAAATATCAATTTCTTTATCAATAAATAATTTTATGATAATAAATTATTTTACAGTCTAGACCCTGTTTGTCTCTTCTTGCTCATTGTTATTTTTATACACAAGATTTTATAGCTTCTGCACATTGCTATGAAAAATTAATTCAATTATGTCCTAATGAAAGTATATATAAATTATATCATGCTCAATCTTTGCATCAAGCATGTATGTATCAAGAAGCTTGGACAATATGTTCTAATATTATTACTCAAAGCAATTTAGAATATAAAGTAAAGAAACTACAGGCAGCCATAAAATATGGGCAAGAAGATATTGTTGCTGCAAAAAATTTAATTGATCAATGTTCAACAGATGATGTTGATACAGAGATTAATTTAGGATGTCTTTTATATAAGGTATGGAAAATATTAAAAAAATATATATATGAAGTATATATTTATCTGTTTTTTCTTTTTAGGAGGAACAATATGAACAAGCTTTAAAAAAGTTTGCAAATGCATTACAAATTATAGGTTTTAAGCCTCATTTATCATATAATGTAGCACTTTGTTACTTTAAATTAAAAGAATATGCTGCATCACTAAAACATATTGGTACAGATAATATTTGTACTAAACTTTATATTATATATAATATTTTAATAATTTATTATTTTAGCTGATATTATTGAGCAAGGAATAAGAGAACATCCAGAATTAGGAGTGGGTATGACAACAGAAGGTATAGAAGTACGCAGTGTTGGAAATACATTAACACTTCATGAAACAGCTTTAACAGAAGCATTTAACTTGAAAGCAGCTATAGAATATCAATTACAAAATTGTAATTATTTATATATTGTAAATTTAATTTCTCATAATTTATCTAATATATTTTACATTCTTTATTTATTCAGATGAATCAGCGAAAGAAGCATTAACAGATATGCCTCCTAGATCTGAGGAAGAACTTGATGCTGTTACTTTACATAATCAAGCTTTAATAAATATGGATACAAAGCCAAGTGAGGGATTTGAGAAACTTCAATTTTTATTACAACAAAATCCATTTCCACCTGAAACTTTTGCAAATTTGTTATTATTATATTGTAAATACCAATATTATGATTTAGCTGCTGATGTTCTTGCTGAAAATGTTCATTTGACTTATAAATATTTAACACCAGTAAGTATGATTATTATTATATTGTTATATATATTTTTTGCAGATTGTGCATTAAAAATACTTCAATTATTTAAAAAAATATAAAATTAACATAAAAAATAATTTTAAATTTTAAAGCTTTTATATTTCATATTTTTATTTATCAGCATATTTAGTTTTTGAATGTTTACACTTCTTAGTACGTTTTTCTAAATTTTCTGAATGCTTTCGTTTATGAGCTTTCATATCATGACTAGAAACACTATCACTAGAACTTTCATCACTAGAAGAACTATCATATTTTTTCTTTTTTTTTTTTTGATCTTTAGAATATTTCTTCTTTTTCTTTTTAATTACACTTTCATCAGAATTACTATCAAGAATTATTCTTGTTTGTATTCTTTTAGTTATTTTTTTTCTTTTTAATTTCTTTTGTTTATGTTTCTTTTCTTTCTTGTTTATATTAATTTCTGTTTGAACAACATTTTGTTCTTCTTTTTTCTGTTCTTCTATTTCTGGAATTAATTCATATTTTTTTCCATCAGGACTCATAAAACAATCATTAGATAAATGACCAGCAGTTCCACATTTTTTACATGTAGTATTAAGAATTGCTTCTAAGTGTATAGTTTTATGTTCATGCTTTTCAATAATTTTTTTCTTTTGTATATCTCTTTGTAATTGTACTCCATTTGGATCTAAATCTGTACCATTTCCCTGATTTACATATTTCATAGATAATCCTATTTTTCCATCATCTCCAATAGAAATAACTTTACACCAAACACGTTCCCCTTTTTGCAAAACTTCTGTAACATTATCAACATGAACACAACTAATCTAGAAATTTATAAAAATTAAAATTAATTGCATCATAAAATATAAACAAATAATTTGTTATGGACGTATTTTCTTAATACTTGTGATCTATGTATTAATCCTTGTACAGAACAACCTGGGATTCTGATAAAAGCACCATAATTTTGTACAGATGCAATTTCTCCAAGAAATATTTGATTTAACTCACAATTAGCCATTTTTAAAACTTAACAAGACTATTTATAAGTTATATGATTAACATATGTAAGCAGAAAATAACAATAAACAAACGTCAATCAAATTTCATATGAAGGTTAGGTTTATTCATGATATTAAATATAGGACTGTAGCAAGGAAATTAATTTGAGGGTGCAAATAGTGAAAAATGGAAATTTATAAATTTATATTTCATTGAATAAAAATTGAAATTTATTAAAATTAAAAAAACAAGATATAAAGAATTTTATCGTAATTATAATAATATTTATTTCTCAGTATTTATATGATTTTTTGGATGCATTAATCACACAACAAACTTCACCGGAAGAAGCGTATCGCAAATTTGATGATCTTGGTAATAAACACATGGAAATATTACGAAAAGCAACAAAACGAGTTCAGGAAGCACGATTAAATCATGATGACAGTGCTGTTAAAAAGGCTGTAAATGATTATGAAGAAGCTTTGGAAAGATATGTACCGGTTTTAATGGCACAAGCTAAAATTTATTGGGAACTTGGAAATTATACACAAGTTGAGAAAATTTTTAGAAAAAGTGTAGAATTTTGCAATGAACATGATATATGGAAATTAAATGTAGCTCACACTCTTTTCATGCAAGAAAATAAATTCAAAGAAGCAACAGGATTTTATGAACCAATTGTTAGAAAAAAATATGATAATGTTAGTTGTTTCAACTTTAATTTGCATTTTTAATTTATTTTGATTTGAAAATACATGTTAATAGATATCAATTATTAAGTATTATAAAAATTTCAGATTCTAGACGTAAGCGCTATAGTACTTGCTAATTTATGTGTAAGTTATATCATGACATCGCAAAATGCGGAAGCTGAAGGATTAATGAAAAAAATAGAAAAAGAAGAGCAAGTAATTTCACGCGAAGATCAAGATAAAAAATTATTTCATTTATGCATAGTAAATCTAGTAATTGGAACATTATATTGTTCTAAGGGAAATTACGAATTTGGTATATCTAGAGTCATGAAAAGTTTGGAACCTTATAATAAAAAATTGGGAACAGATACTTGGTTTTATGCAAAAAGATGTTTTCTTTCTCTTTTAGAACAATTAGCTAAGCAATTAGTAGTTCTAAAAGATACTACTCTTCAGGAATGTATACAATTTTTAGAACATTGTGAAGGTATATATTTTATTTTTATAAACAATAATATTTGTATACAATTGTTAAAATATTTATATTATTTTTTATTTTATTAGTTTACGGAAGAGACGTAATAACAGTAGTAGAACAATCTTTTGATATGCAGGATATGCTTGCTATTACTCCAGAAGGCAAGCAAACAGTTGTTTATGAAGCGCGATATTTAAAAGCTTTGTTTTTGAAATTGCAAATGTCTTAATATCTATCAACATATGTACATCTCTTTTGTCTTACATATATGAATATTGTATATAAAACACAGAAAATATTTATAAATATTAATTAAAAAAATTTAAATGTATAACATTATTTTTAAGCAATTAAATATATTTTTTATATATATAAACATGTTTTAAAACAATTTTATAACATTTTTAAAATTTAAAAATAATTTCTTTAATTATGATTTAATATGTAAGTACATGTTTTACGACTTACTATGTACGTCACTGTAGTGAAAATGGTGGTCGACATGGAATTACAGGAAGCTAAAGATTACGTTCTTCAACTTATGAAAGATAAAGATAAAATTGAATCAGATTTGAAAGCTTTGAAAGAAATTTTAGATATTGTATGTATGTTATTTTAGACTTGCACAAAAAGTCTATTTAATTATATCATCCAGAATAAATATATTTATCTTATAGTAGAATGAACTGTCAAATTTCCGAAAAAATTATTGAATATTTACATATATAAATTGTAGAATCATGTCGGCATGGATGATCCGCTGGTGGACTGTGAAGGATATCCACGAAATGATATTGATGTTTATCAAGTGAGACATGTGAGACATAAAATAATATGTGCGTTTAATTACTATGCAATTTTCTCTATGTAATTTTATTAACTTTAACTTATTAGTAAATTATTAAGTGATTAGGTCTTAGAAATGATCATAAAGCATTGATGAATAAAATAGAAGAAGGTTTGCACAGAGTGCATGCTTTAGCAGGAAATCAAGCAGAATGTTCTAATGCAACTGCAACTATTATTCAAGATAATGCACAATTAGATCCTTTCTTAAAGGTGAATTTAGTATCTCCAGGTTCTCCAGCAGAAATAGCAGTAAGAATTTTTTTGAAGTTCTCTAATGGTTATAAACTCACAATATAATTCATTTATAATTCATTTTAAATGTTAAAAATTATAATATAGGGAATTCAAGTTGATGATCTTATCTTAGAATTTGGATCTATTGATTGTCGGAATTTTAAATCATTAAAAGATATTGGAACTCTGGTACAAAATAGTAGATATAAGACAATAAATATAAAAATTAAACGTGGATCTAATATCATTGCCTTGACTTTAATTCCACGTCCATGGATTGGTAATGGTCTTCTGGGTTGCAATGTAATACCTATAGAGACAGTTGAAAGATAAAGCTTTTGAAATAAATTTTTATTATATGTTGATTTTGTGTGTATATTATCAATAAAAGAATATTTATAAAATATTGTGTTTATAATTATTGTATTTATAATATATGTATATTTTTTTTGTAATAACCTTGGAATTGGCTTTAAATAAATATTAAAATATAATCCTAAGACTCTTAGACTTTGAAATTTAATACATATAATCTTTCAATGTAAATTCTCATTTGAGTATTTAAAGTGGTAGAGTTGCTATAAATTCAAGCATATTCTAAGAAGCAGCAGTTAATATTGGAAAACAATAACAAGATGCATTTCCCATTGATTGTAAGTTATAATTAATTATATTTATATTTTATATATATATATATATTTATTTATTTATTTGTTAGTAAAAATATTCTTTATGCAGATAGTATTCAGCTTAATTATTTGTGGATGTCAAGTACTAAGTCAAACTAATACTTATGAATATTCTGATCAACATCCATGGTCACTTGTCTATACTTTATATCCATTTTATAATTCTGAAACATTACTGGAAGTGTGGAAAGGAGATAAAACTGTTGATATTTCAACCAATGTAGTAACTCCACATGAACAAGAACAAACAGTTTTATTTTCTGATGATATTCAACATAATGGTACAAACTTAAAATCACAAGACAATTTATCTTATTTTTTAAGTGAAACCAAAAATATAAATAATGGGCAATTATCAAAAAATAGACTTTCCAATTATGTAAGTATTAAATCAGCTCTTAAATTTTATTACAATAAAACTGCTTATATTATTGTTTATAATATTATTTTAATATATAGAGAAACAGACATAAAGATACAAATCTTCAAAATGAGTAACAAAGTATTTGGATTTCAACTGGATTTAATGATTTAAAGGATTCATATATTTATGCATAAAAGTGTAATTTTAGATATTAGTATTGCTATATCTTGCATTACATTGTGAAACATGTGCTTGTAGAAAATTCTATTAAAATAATTTATATGCAGAATTTGAATATTTTTATTTCTACCCTTTTTAAACAATAACTTAATTCTTCTAAAGAATAATTTTTATATAATATTCAATTTTTGAAATTTATATTTTTTTAAATATCTTATTTAACCTATAAAAGATTAAATAATATATTAATTACGAAATTTTATACCAAATGTGCAGTAATTCTATTATATTGTTTTAATCTATAAGTAAATTCTATGTAAAGAAATTACAATAAATTAAATAATAACTAATGATTTATGAATTGATAGTAATGATTTAGTGACTAAAGTTTTGTAAATTGGTATTTTTACATACTATTATCATGGGCACGTATAGAAACTATATGAAATTATTGGAATCTTGGCCATTAGATAATACAAAACCCGGCAGGTAATTTTATTAAATAAATCAAATTTAAATTTTTTTATATCTTAATATTTTTATTATAAATATAATCATATTTATGCTAATATTTTTTAATTTTCTTTATAATCAATATTGAGGTTAAATTTAATATTTTAAATATTTATGTTTTTAAGTGTTTTTATATTAAATGAGATTAATTATATTATTATATCATAATTTAATAATAATTTTATACCTAATAATAATTATTATTAATTAATATGAAATATAATTTATAAAATAATTTATATGTATTTCAGAGATTTGGCTCAACATATTCGTGACCAAATAAAACTTGCATTTGCAAAGGGTGAAGCTAGTGAAATAAATCGTGAACAATGTGATCGTTATTATACGAGTTTAAAAAGAATTTGTTCTAATCATTATGGACAAATGTATATTCGAAAATTTCCAAGTACAGCTAGTGGTTTAACAAAAGAACAGTGCAATTTAATTCTTACACCAGAAGCATTACAATTTTTTGAAGAAAAACAAGAAGGAATCTTTTCACGTACACTTTCAAGATTATTCAGGAATGTTGTTAAAAAAAATGAATAATATGATTCATATACATAGATATTATGGCATGAAATATTTAAGTAGAAATATATATTATTTATTTTGGAAACAAAATGACTTAAAAAATAGTAGAAAATATAGTAAAATAGTAAATGAAAATGATAATAATACTGAAAATACATCTCACATACCAGTAATGGTTAACGAAGTGTTACATTATTTAGAACCATCACCAGGAAAAATTTTTGTGGATATGACATTTGGTGCTGGTGGACATTCTATAAAAATTCTGGAATCTTCACCTAATATAAAAATATTTGCTTTAGACAGAGATCCTATTGCACATCAACATGCATTAAAATTATCAGAAAAATATCCTGAACAAATAATACCACTATTAGGAAGATTTTCTGAATTACCACAATTGCTTTGTAAATATAAGGTAAATGTAAATAGCATAGATGGTTTTTTATTTGATTTTGGTTGTTCATCTATGCAACTTGATGTTGGTGAAAGAGGATTTTCTTTGTCAAAAGATGGACCTTTGGATATGAGAATGGATGGATTTAGATATCCACAAGAACCTACAGTTGCTGAAGTTTTAAAAGAAATAACAGAAGAAGATTTAGTTCATATTTTAAAGATTTATGGTAATGAAAAATATGCTAAAAAAATTGCACGTGCCATTATAGAAACTCGATATACTTTTAAAACTTTAAAAACTACGCAAGAATTAGTTCAGCTCATTGAATCTGTGATTTCAGAAAAAAGACTTGATCAACTTGGTAGATATGCTCATTGTGCAACAAAAACATTTCAAGCACTAAGAATTTTTGTAAATAATGAATTAAATGAGATTAATTATGGAATCGTTATTGCTGGATTTTATTTAAAAACCAATGGTCGTTTAATAACAATATCTTTTCATTCTCTGGAAGATACTATTGTTAAAAGACATATATCAGCAAATATAACAGAAACTGTAGCTAATAAAATACCATTAAAATTTTCAGATTATGGCAAACATTATACTCTAACTGAAATGAAAGCTTTCAATCGAATTCCATGGAAAATGTTACATAAACATGTAATAACACCCACACAAGAGGAAATAAATAAAAATCCAAGATCACGTTCTGCAAAATTACGAGCAATTACCAAAGTGATTTAAGTTTATTAATCAAATTATCAAAGTTTGTAAATATAAAATATAAACATTTTTCATCTCAAACATTTTTTTTTAATTTTAATTTTTAATATAAAACAATTTATTATATCTGAAGGTATGTGTCATGTATATATATGTACATTTTTATCACATGTAGAAGAAAATTAAAATTATCGTAATGATTAATACTATGTAATTTAAATGTAAATATATACATAGTATTATAAATCATAAGAATATTTATAACATTTGATGTTTAATATGTTCAAAATAAGCCTTCTATTTCGTTTGTTTCATTATTCCAATCCATGTCATAAATGCTTGGCCTTGTAGAAAGACCTGGCATCATCATTATCTGGAAATATAATATTATAATTACAAATTATATAAAAAATTCTATAATTTAAAATACTTACCTCTCCTACCATAGGTACTATAAAACCTGCTCCTACAGAAACAAATATATCAGTAATATTAAGTGTGAAATCAGTAGGTGCACCTTTAATGGATGGATCACCAGTTAAAGAGTTTGATGTTTTTGCCATGCAAAGAGGTAATGTATTATAACCTAATTTATTGTATTTTTCGATTTTTTTTTGAACCTGCATTAATAATTGTTAATTTTATACATAATTATGCAAATTAAAAATATGTATATATTATAAACTTATTGAAAGTTTACCTTGTCTGCAAGAATAATTTGTCCTGCTCCATATATTTCTTTAGCAATGATATTTATTTTTTCTTCAATATTAATATTAAGGTCATACAATACTTTGAAATTATAATGTTTATTTGTGGCAGCTATAACTGCATCTGCAAGTGCTGTAGCACCTGCACCACCTTCTGACCAGTGATTACATATAATTGCATCGATTGCACCACTTTCTATTGCAGCTTTTTTTATTAATTCTAATTCAGATTGGGTATCAGTACTAAAATAATTTTGAATTTATTTTCTTCTACATAGTAGTTTAAAAAGTTATAATTTACTTCAATTACGAGTTATATTCCATATAAAACTTACGCATGAACGTTAATGGCAACAATTACTGGAATGCCAAATTTAATTCCATTACTAATATGCTTCTGAAGATTTGGAAGACCTTTTCTAATTAAATCAAGATTTTCTTCGAGATATTCTTTTTTTAATGGAGCACCAGTTGTTACTGGAGGCCCACCACCATGCATTTTTAATGCTCTAACAGTTGCAACGAGCACAATAGCATTTGGTACATGTTTAGATGCTCGACATTTAATATTAAAGAATTTTTCCATTCCGATATCAGAACCGAATCCAGCTTCAGTTACTACGATACCTTCGGGACCAACTAATTTTAATGCAATAGCATCCGCAATGATAGAACTACAACCATGTGCGATATTTGCAAATGGTCCAGCATGGACCATTACTGGTGTTCCTTCTAAAGTTTGCATAAGTGTCGGTTCAATGGCATCTTTTAATAGAATTGCCATTGCCCCAGTCATACCCTAAATGTATATTTAATATATTACTGAACAATAAAATAAAATATTTGCGATTTCATAATTTACTAATAATTTACTAACGAAATCTTCGGCGGTTAAGGGTTCTCCATTTTTGTTGAAAGCAACTACTATATTACCAAGTCTTTGTTTCATGTCATCGACACTAGTTGATAATGCAAGTATTGCCATTATTTCTGAACCAACAGAAATGCAAAATGATGTTTGTCGTGTTTTACCTTTCTCAGTTGGATTTTCACCGATTGTAATTTTGCGTAAAAATCGATCATTTATATCAACCACTAAAATAAATATATCTTATTAATAAAGAAGATTTCTTTTATTAATTTTATACATGAAATTTTTATATTACCTCGAGTCCAAGTGATATTTTCTGGATCGATATCTAATCTTGCAAACTTTCTTTTTTCTTCTTCAGTTAAACTATTTGGATCAGTTTTTGTAATACCTAGTTTTTTTAAACGTCTCAATTGT